GGCCCATGGGCCACAGTTTTCTTTCTTTTTTTAAATTTAATTTTATTTTAAAATTATTTTTTTTCTTTTTTCTCCTTTTTTTGGGGAGAACTTGAAGCAGAAGGCCATAGTTTTCTGAGCCCTGCTATGGAGAGTAAGTGGGAGTAGAGGTGGTATATTTCTATTTAGTCTACAAAGATATTTCTATTTTTTTTTCCTCTTCTTTTTGCCCATTTTTCTCTTGTTAAAGTTCCACATGAAGTGCGCACATGAGCCCAGGAGTTCAAGTCAGTCCCTGTCACTAAAAAAAAATAAAATAAAAGTTGAGAAGTTGCACTTGAAATTGTGCCCCCTGAATTTGCTATTTTTTTTCTCCCATAAGCTATGTTAGGTTATCTAATATATAGACTTTTGTAAGAATAATTTTTTTCTCTTGCTTCCTCTCAGCAAAGTTCCTAGCACATATCTGAGTGAGAAGTTGCTTTGTGTTTTGTTATTTTTTTGAACTTTAACACTGAAGATTGGTTTTTGAACTCTTTTTGCAAACCTCTTTATTCAGGTTAACCACACAACATGGGCCCTACTTTCTTTTAGTGGATTCTGAAGGCAAAATTTCAGCACAAAACTGTAACTACAATTGATAAGAAAAATTACATTGCTTTTAATGGTATGGTATCATGGTGATGGCTGATGTTTAATTAAATCTCCTAAGCATAATGTTCATCCAAAGCTTAGAGATGATACTGGAGACCTTATGAGTGTTGCAATGCTGATGAGCATTGAATTTCTTTAATGTTGATATTGCAGTATCACAAAGCAAGCAAATCGTCTTATCTTTAGCAGAAACAAGATAATATTGCAATTCCCAGTCCTCATTAAAAAATCTATTTTCTTCCTTCAGCATTCTCTTGATCTTTGACATGATGGGCAATTAGGCAGACAGAATTAAAAAATGCTGTTGAGCTGTGCAACTGTTCACAAATTCCACTTCAAACAGAAGCACAGCACACCGTTGTCAAAAGTTGATAACAGACTGGTGAACTCAACCCCCATAAACTCTCACTAACCAGCCTCGGGCAGTAGTGGTGCCAGTCAGGCGGGGGTAGTTAGAACTAAATCATGAGCGTAGCAGCTGTCAATTTAGCCCTTAGAGCTTACTGATGTTCTTATT